GTGTGTGTGTGTGTGTGTGTGTGTGTGTGTGTGTGTGTGTGTGTGTGTGTGTGTGTGTGTGTGGTAGGGAGTGGTTACCAGATAACCATATCGTCTATATGTGTGTGATTGTGTGTGTATGTGTGTGTATGTGTGTATGTGTGTGTGTTTGTGTGTGGTGGGGGGTTACCAGAAAACCATATCGTCTATCTGTGTGATTTCGGGGGTGGGGGAGGGGCGAACCAGGTTGAATAGACACCGTCTATCTCTGTGTCTTTGTGGTTGGGGGCGGGGCAGAAAACAGATTGTAACCACACCGTCTAACTCTTTTAGTGAGGGGGGAGGGGGAGAGGGGGAGAGTTTCCTTGTACGTTATATTCTGATAGCGACGACTGGTTGATAATATACCGTCGAACCTGCCTCGACGGCCACCTTTATAAGACGGTCACCTGTACAAACGGCCACTTTCCCTTTCCTCCCTTGCGTTTATTCTATATAACGTAACTGTGTAACAAGGGCACCTGTCCAACGCGGCCGCAGCAAACGCTTTTTATCAGCTCACGACCAAATCTACCTGTATAAGGCGGTCAGACTCTGTCAAAAAGTATGCTTTTTCCCCTGACGCAGTGGACAAGCCGTTATAATTCATTCACCTGTCGTTGTTGTCAGTCCCTCCAATGACCCATTCACCTGTCGTTATTGTCAGTCCCTCCAATGGATGAAACGGTCATGTTGTTTAAGTCACTCCCAATGTTTACCCAAGTTGACCAATGGGTAACAATAAATTTTCAGCTGCTGGTAAGGGAAGCGTGTGATCCGTCATAACCTATAAGCCCCGCCCACAACTCCGTCCGTAAACCCAATCCACAACAAAAGAAGTCAACACAAACTGACGACAGAAGTGTCGCTCGTTCTCCGAGTGGTGGCGACCCGTTTGTTTGTTTTACTGTGACGCTTGGCCTTCCTCGTCTGAAACATTTCGTTTTGTTTTGACCTTTCCCGGAATCATGATTTAAAAATAAAAAATAAAACGAATAACAAAAAGTCCCACAAAAACCGTCCTATCCTCTCCCCCCTTTGAAAAGAAATACAACAACAACAACAACAACAG